GGGGAGAGAGTGAGAGACAGATGGCCGAGTTGGCTTTATGAGGAAATGGGGTATGAATGGGAAGCTTTTTGTCGGTGACCAGTCATCAATTATGTCAACTGAGGGAGGGGAGAAGAGAAAACAAGAGGACGAAGGCGAAGGAGAGAGAGAGATGACAGCAAGTAGCCAGTTCAGAATGAGAATGCTACAGTGGGAAAGCGCGTGAGCGTGTGGGTGCTTTTTCAGCCGAGTGCGTAGTAAATAACGAGTAATTGGCCCATGTCCATTGCAACGGTCGGATCCCTCTGAAGTTGCCACATGCTTGCCAGCCGGGAGCCCTTTCCAATTACCAGTGGGCCCCACCTCCTCGCCTTTGTGATGCGGCCACAGCCCCACGCTATCACCGTCCGATTCGCCCACCCCGGGCGCATCCTATCCAAACCATTGATAAGGTTCCCACTCCACCAAAAGTAGCAACCAACGCATAGTGAGAGGAGCAATCATATGGCCTCACCCACAAGTATTATGAAACGTTAACTGTATGCAATAATTAGGGATAAAATATACTCCTCGGGCCCTAAATATAAGCCTTTTTCATAGTGTAATTTATACTACGAAAGGAGTCTTATATTTAAAACTGAAAGAGTAATAATAGTAAGGGCAGTGTTTAACAACAAAAGATTAAGGACAATAAAGGGTCCGTTTGGGACCACGTTTGGGCCCCCAAATGTGCGTCCCAATCTGGCTTTTAAGTTTTACATGTTTGGATCTGCGGTGGGGCTATCTGACTTCTGTCACTGAAACGAACTTATACAATAAACTCAAAAAAGCTGATTTTCTCCAATCTGACTTCTGTAAAGTCAGATTGAAAAAAAAGTTACTTCTCCACCGCTAATCCAAACACACCCAAAGTAATGTGAGTCTGGAGAAGGAGGGCCGTTCGGTTTGCCAACTAGCGTAATGACTCCAGTGACGATGGGCTTGCGCGTTTAGTGTGGGCCTGGTTGGAATTGGAAGTAGCAGCCCAGAAGAGTCCCACTACTTTTGAATCCCCAGCGTAACATGCGTTGCGTGCATGAGACACATTGGGTAAGATCACGTATGAAGGCGACGTTCCAACCAATTAACACTCTGCCCATTGGATCACCACGCACATGCCCGAAATATAAGCAATGGAAGAGAATGCCGGGCGGGGCATTTAATTTAGTGGTGGTGGTTTTAGGTTTGACGAAAATGGTTTTTTGTTGGTTAGCCTTGCTCAACGTGATGAACTAAGATTTGAATCCTCGAGAAAGTGTACACATTTAGTGCCCAACAGTCTTTTAAATAGGATTGCTTTTAATAGAAATCTAAATGTTTTAACCAAAAAAAAAATCCTTGTTTTGCATTTTTTTTTCCTTAGATAAGAGGGACAGATACTAACTATGTTAAATTATAAGAAGGATTAGACCGACAAAATCACAATTTGTTTACTTATTTTATATTCTGTAAATTACGTTTCAATTTTAAATTATAATATTACACTTGCCTTGCCTTGGACGTGGGTGGCGTGTATTGGTGTACATGTGGCGTGTGGGGCTGCTTTGTCCTTAATGCTGAACTAAATAAATAAATCAGGGCTTTGATGAAGAACAGCATCGGCGGTGATTAGATGCCATGTGCGCTTAATTATTTTACCTGTCGCCCCAAAAAACTGCCATTACTAAATGCGCGGTCAACATGCGCCAACCACTATGCATTATTTTATATATTTTGTGTCGAATAATAAACTAAATATGGAAATCCATTCTGAAAAAGCACCCCTCATTTAATATTAATATTACGCAAATCCTCCAGACAAAGAAACCTCCGGAAATCATGACGCCCAAAGCCGCTTCTAAGTAATCGATTTTGGCAGGATTTTAAAATAATGATAAATAAATAGTAGGGGTTGGGAGGCAAAGCATCACAATATGTCATTTATATTTCTTCATAAAAATACGTTAAATGTGAAGAATGAGGTAAGGGCTAATGCAGACTTTGATTATTTAAATTTGTCCACATTTAAATTTTAATTCTTTAAATTTCTTTTTATTTAAAACACTATTCTATATAATTTAATAACAACCTTTACCACATAATTCATTTGATGGACAAAAAACAAAAATTTGTATAAATTTAAGGATAAAAAATTATATCAATCAGGAGATATCCAAGCTTGAAAACTTAATCATGCATGAAACCTAAACTATTTTTATGACGTGAAATAATATTCCTTCAATCTTAAATATAAAATATATTTAGTAGTGTGAATTATATTATTAAATAAATATTATATTTAGAAGCAGAAGCGCATGGAGGAAGTGATCTGATAACATGAATATGCAAACTGAGCAGAGGACGGATCGGAGCATAAGATGCGATGCCAGCGCGACATTGGATGGCCCCGCCTACTCTGCTCATTATCCAAACACTTCTCCTCACACCAAACGCGCTTGGCCCTTCATTCTGGCCGTAATTGGCTCCCCGAACAACAAAAATTTTTTAATATATATATATAGTACAACCTTTTCTCCTACAAAATCATATTTATTAATAATTAATAATAATGCACTGCTTAAAATGTTGAATAAGATCATTCTCCTTCACCGCGTGATTCCCGCCACTTTAGTGGACAGCCCTAACAATTTCCTCCGGTCAGTGTTTTAAGGAGTTGATGATTTTCTGGGAAATAAAAGAAAACTGATTATTTAAACGGATGCATGCATGTTTATGCACAGTACTCTTAAATATAAGACTCATCTTGTAATACAGTTTATACTATAAAAATAATCTTATATTTAGGATTGGAAGGAGGGTATTAGATTCACAAACTTTGGGGTCGGCTATTTTCCAATTTCCACAAACAATAAAATATGCTTTCTTCCCACAGACATCATATAGACCCCGAACGGCCCAAGCCCATCCAATACACTTTCTTCCTGCACGTATTGTCAAAAATGACAAGACATACTATTTGAGAGGGTTATAGTATATTATTATATCCGATCATAAGTATAAAACCTCGTTTATCATCTATAAATGTGTTTTATAATTAGAGCCAGATGTAGTGTTATGTAGAAACACACATATCTGCCTCCCAATCTCTCCACCACCACATGTGCATGTGGTGCCGCATGGACTCATTCTGATTTCCTCCGTATGTGTTCATTGACTACATTCATGGCATGCCTCTATTATTTGTTTTTCAACAATCCCTTATAAACAAAGTGGCGTTTTCTATTTTCAGAGCCGCATTCTATATCTGCAAATTGTTTTTCATCAGCCAATCATTTGCTTCGCTCGCATACTCTTATGTCCAACCATTAATCTGATAAATATGAATTAATATCATCTTTAAATTCTGAAATTTGACCTCATTTTAATTTTTTTGGTCTGTGAAATCTGGAACCTATAATTTCAAAATCACTGGAATGTGAATGAATTATTCACAAACAAACCTGAGCCTAATCAAAACTCAAAACGTGGATTGGTCCAAAACAAGAATAATAAGGCCCATCCTCTAGGGGTTTCTCTTTTTTGACCTGACATCCTCTAGGGTGATTGGGGTCTAAGGTTTTATGAGGATTTTAATAAAGGGGCACCGAAGGGACATGATTTTAAACCAAGTCCAAAACATTCTGGTATATTACTGCATAATTAAAAAAAAAAACTAACTTGACATAATGTTCTCATGTTGAATTGTCAAATTACCTTTTACTTATTTAAAACAAAAACAAAAAATCATCTTCGACCACACCATATAAGTGAATTTGTCATTTCAGCAACATCTACTAAGGAGAACTTATCATCAAAATTCAATATTTAGAACGTGTCTTGCAACCTGATGTGCACTTGTATAAACAGTAAGTGATTTTGTCTTTATATCTGGAGACATGTTTGTCAAAATAAAAAGTAAACTTATTATTTCATAAATATTTACATGTCAATTTATTTTTTTAAAAAAGTTGTCAACAAGATCAATACAGAGAATGCGAGTCTTTATGACAAATTTACAAGGAAAAGCTACTAAAACGACGTGTTTAATTAATATTTTAACAAGTCCAACTACTATAATAATGAAGGACGGAACTAGTTGTAAAGGGTAGGAGCTTTTTGATTTTGGATGTGCATAAAGCAGAATAGATTAGTAAGTTTTATGCTCGTGACCTGTATCTCTGATCTCTATACGGCCGAAAAAGAAAAAGACAGTAATGGTAATTGATCATAAAATAAAGGCTGCCTTTCCCCCACGGTGTTTTTCTTTTCCTTCTTTCTTTTTTTTTTGGCTCAGAGTATCCTCTCAAGCGAATGATGAGTCAAGCATCATAGCAGGGATTCCTCCTAACAGTGTTTGTTCCATACATAGCGTCTTAAAAATCAAATCTAGAACATGATGTTTAAGGTGTCCAAGTTTCTTTTGCTTGGACCAACATCTGTTGATCTCCCATGGGTGTTAGACATTATATTAGTGCTCCAGTTTGGGGCCGAGTCTACGCTCTACAACACTCCCAGGCTACGCTATTTATGGCTCGCGGCCCAATTTGGGGTTGGCTCAATATGGGCTCTGGACTTGCTTAGTTGCACGGGGGAGAATCCTTGCTAAAAAGAGCAGTCACTAAGAACTACTATAAGGCGTTAGTTATTAATAACCATCATGTTATATGCGCATGGACTCAAATTAAATCACATAGAATGTGAAACTTCTTTAAATCTATTATTGAGTTTGCACTTGACAAGACAACAAGTCTTCCATTCATTTCAATTTTTTAGGGCATTAACAACTTGCCATTATAATTCCCCATGTAGATTAACTTTTTTTTTTTACTTGACTTGATCTAACATTGTTTGGATTAAACTGGATAATTTGCCCAGCCACCATTAGGAGGAGAAAAACTGGGTTTAAACATGAAACTTTGATAATTATTAATTTTTGCCAATGCAGTTAAATCTTACTTGCATATTTACCTTTAATTGGGCGAATCGGAAGGTCAAAGAGGGTATAAAGGAAATGGCGTCATAGACTCGTCTTTGTTGTCATTGAAAGGACATGATTCATAAGCTTCCGAAATATGGAAGCTCATTTACATCTATTTTGCTGAAAGGAAACAATGATAATACTCATGAAAAAAGAAATATACACGAGAACCAGTCCAAAACTTATATAGCTGACTGACTGCCAATAAATAAAACAAAAATAAGGAAACAAAATTTGGACAAGATGAACAGTAGACTGATTCCTCCTACAAACTAAACTCAATGCTTTATCCAACATCATCCTTCTCTGAGAAAGTTGTAACCTATCAGCATGTAGCATTCTTTCTGGGTGAGACCAGATTTTCCAGCGACAACGACATTTGAAACTTGAGAAGTTGGATAGAATTGAGATGAAGGACTTTCTATATACAGCATTTTCACATCTCACATTATCTTTCCTGCCTTAAATTGGAGGTCCACTTTTACAGCATTTAACTGCTCTGCTTAGGGTTGTAAGGGCGTATGAATGCAGAATTCATCTGCCAAACAGTGAGTGAGGCAGTGACGGTGGCGTCTGTGGCATTATTGAACAAGAACAAGCGAGCTGCTCCATAGATTGCGCTTGTTGGGTAAACCCTAGATGTCACCACCGTCCTTCCTCCTTGTGCAAAGCTTTCAATTATTGAATGATCCACCTACATGTCGTTAAAAACAACCAACATATATTCACTTTTAAGTTAATTTCTAACATTTCAATCTCTGTAAAACGAAATGTAAAGACTACAAAAGCCTTAACTCACCAGTATTCTTACTGATAACTTCTCATCCTTCAATACTGGAACGACACTTCCAAAAATATGTTTATGAACATCGTTTGCCAAGGAAGACCTACCCAAATTAAACAAGCAATAGTGGAATTAAATAAATAACTTTTTTTTTTTAATTCTTATCCTCATCACGAAGTCAGAGATTAACGTTTGGCTAAAGTGAAATCTTACCGGGTCTGGTCAGAGCAAAAAGAAGTCGTGAGATTTCCATCGCTTCCTTTAGTGATATAGAAGTAAACTGGAGTGTATTCAGAAAGCTCAGCATCTGCTAGAACCAGAAGACCGAAAGGTCCCAAAGCACCTCGTGTTCCAGCTCCACCACTAGTGCTGCAGATGTACGACAAATCGGAGGGAGTTGCCTTCTCAAAAGCTTCCTTATCTATCTCAAACTCGGCAAGGATGTCCAACTGTTTCATTCATGGCACATAGTTTTATGTAGGTTATGCATTTGCTTTTGTGAAAACAGAGTAGTGAATGGTATTACATGACAGAGTCGGTAAGGCGTGAAACAAACCTGTGTGGCTGCTTCTATGTCTAATGGCACCACAGACCCCGGCTCAGCCTTCATATTTTTGAACTTACTGCTCCTCAATCTTAGTTTCTCCACCTCCTCAACAGGCCATTGAAGTAAGTTGCTCCCTGTCTTCCTATCAAGCACCACGGTTCTTGGAATACTCTGTAAAACGGGGGAGGAAAAAAAAAGGGCCAATCCATAAGATGGGAATATATAAGTAAGCTCCACATATAACGACAATTTCTTTTCATCTTTTTTCAAATCAAAACATGCAATACTAAAAATTTTGAATAAGACACATAAGAAAATAGCCACAAAAAAAAAAAAAACAATCTTTGATTTGGTATAAGTACCTGAACGGAAGCCCATCCTTTGGCAATATCAGCAACTTCGCTGTCCGACTCACCAATCCAACCCCACAATATTCTCCTCTGGGTGCTCTGATCATAAAAAGTTTTGGATGCATAGAATATGCCATAGTCGTATCTGAGTCCAATACCAACATCAATCTTCGAATCATCGGCGACGAACTTAACCTTCTTTTCATCATAAGACCCAATTGCGAAGTAATCATGCCTATCATCGTCCAGGCTAACTTTAACCACATGCTTCACATCTGCCCCTTTCACGGAGGTCTCTAACCCACTATCAGATTTTGTGCAGACAGGGTAAAAGTCCACACATTCCCACATGCCAGTGCCAGGCACAGCATGCATTACTCCCTCTAGACGCTCAAAAGTCTTGAAGTCCTTGGTGTCATAAACTAATGAGATGCCAGTCTTGTTAATTTTAGACCCAATACTGATGCGCCACTTGCCTTCTGATGTAAGCCAAGCAGTGGTCGGGTCACGAAAGTCTTTGGCACCAATGCCAGGTGGTGGGAAAAGAACTGGATTACCCGGGTGTTTGATCCATTTGATAAGAAGTGGGTCAGATGGGTCAGCAGGATAGGCTAGGTTCTGAACCTGCACAGATTGGTTAGTGGAACCAGTGTATAACATGATGACTTGGCCATCGGGTAAGATGGTGGCAGAACCAGTCCATACGCCCCATGTGTCATACCATTCATCATTAACCATCGCTAAGGGCAGGTGAAGCCAGTGGATGAGGTCTTTGGACACTGCATGTCCCCAAACAATAACGTTGCCCCAAACTGCGCCGTAAGGATTATATTGGTAGAAGAAGTGATACCATCCCTTGTAGTACATAGGACCTGAAATCAATCGCACCAAACATACATGTCAATAACTCGTGTCTATCTTTCTCAAAGAAATGGAAGTTTGTTAATTTTTCGGTTTCAACTATTCACTCCGATATTATAAAATGGGTTTTATATTTAGAATCAGAAGAGTATTATTTTAATGGTAAAATTCCACCTAATTTAAGCGGTACAAATTGATGTCTGTACGTAGGTAATTTTCATTGGCTAAGGTGATTTTGTGAAATATTACTTGTTCAATTGAGATTTGTTGTAGACCCCGTTGGGTTCGCGATTATGTCCTGCCCATACTATTTGCATGGAATTATGAAGAGAGCAGTATTCAACCACAATCATGACGTAAATTTTGAAGTCCAAAAGAAATGAGAAAAGTAATTGCTGTTCTTACCATTGGGATCTGAAGCAAAGCAAGGCCAATTCCCCATCGGAGCGCGGAACAATCATCCATATGGAAACAAAAGGAGAAAAGTTAATTACGAATAAGTAAAAGTCAAATCCCATATTTCTTAAAGAATTAAAAAAAAAAAAGTTGTTATGAGGACAATACAAATGATTTGACCGTCTATTAAATGAGAATATTCAAAATTAAATCAAATTATTTATTTACTCCCTCGATCCTTTATTCTTCCTAATATATGGTTGATAAATTGCATTTATTCCGCCTTGTTTTTTTTTTTTCCCATCTTTTTCTGCCCTTTTTAGGGATCCGTCTATCACTGTTTCATTCAGAGAATGATGACAGCCACGTAAAACTTGCTTACTGTCTATAAACATATATGACAAGAAAATCTTTGCATCTATATAGATTCCAGAGAAAAATAAGCTGTATCCCATTTAAAAAAAAAAACCAAACGCTAGATTCAACCTTCGGTGTGTTGGAAATGTCAAATGTGAAAACAGAGCAAGTGAAACAAGGAGGAGCAAGAATTGAGGAATGAATTACGTACCGTTCATCCAATTCTTCTCGGGCTGGAAATGAAAAGCCGTCCTCTGCCATGAGAGCATACTATTGTTCCATGGGAAAGATTCACGAATCGAGGAACCAAACAGCCTGTTATTACTCTTCTCGGACACCCCCGCCGATACACCTCGGGAAACAGGCTTCCATTCGGTGGAAGGCACGGCCCCTGTGGAAGTAAGAGGCTCAGATTTGGGCAATGTGGAATCAGGAGAATGAGCGTTACGGGATGATGCCTCGTAACATTGAAAAGCCACGACGAAAGCCACAGCTAAGAACCCACAAAACACCCCCAATATCTGCTTCTTCCAAGGTCTGCGTGATGGAGTTTCCCGAAACCCGGGTCCATCCGGAAGAGCAGCGTAGGAATAGGGGAGGCCCTGAGAGTCCGTCGCTTTCCCCATTCTTGTTGGTACTGGATTGAGGCTGAAATGAACAACCACAATATATGATTTAATCCAAAGAAACCGGAGAAAGTGTGGAGAGAGAGGCTGTGATAATTAATGATTAAGCCGCCAGGAATTTCCCAGAAGCCCCAGCAGCTAATGAAAACGAGAAAAAAAGGGAGATAATGTAGAAAGTGTAAGGAAGTGAATGAAGGAGAGGGAGTAAGAGATTCAAAAACAACAATGGCGTTTATATACAAACACAAGGGGTGTTGGGTAGGGGTGTAGGAGCACACATGGAAGGTTTTTGTAGCATTCGTCCTCACCATTGGCAATCTGGGGCCGCGCATGTTAGTTTGATCAATAATTGCTGGTGTGGGCCCCCACATTTGCCTATGGCAATGATTTCTGACTCTCCCTTGTTTGGTATCTTCATTTATAATTATTCTATATTTGTTTCCTACTTTCTATGAGCCCCTTTGTTTTTGTTGGTGAAAATTTACTTCTACCGTATCCTGACCTATCTCTTTCTCCGCCCTTTGTTTTTTTATCTCGTTGTATCGTATGCATAATAATTCATATATGTCGATAAATAAAACCGCGTACATAGGCAACTTATTTTGAGAAAATCGAGTTCTACTGAATGTACAAAATTTGTAAAATATCAATACTTATTCATCAATAAAATTTTCAATAATTGAATCATCTCTGTGTTCATAACATAATGGAATGTATAGCAATCCCAGAAATTAATATTTTGTACAATAATGCTTCTTCAAATAATTCATGGAATCATAAGAGTGAAATTGAATGGCTAGAATAACCCAACCCAACAACGCAACAAATAATGACGCACACAGAATATGTACATTATTGCACATGCACATGGCTTCCTTCTTTCCTTTTCGGTGAAAAAGAAAACATATATATAGGAATGTTTTGTTTTCTTGCCATCATAGAGAACATATTAAAGGATTATTACTAACCTTAACTAATGAATCGGTCTCCTGTGCGGCTAAATATTTAAATTTAGTCCCCTTGTTCTTGCAAGTCGCCTGCGCTCGATCTGATTTGGCTGCAGAAATTTCTCCCACTCTTAACAATAGTTCTTTCAATGAATGAAATATTTAGCCCGAAAACAGTAACCCGATCCGTCTTAAAGAAGGCTTGCTTTGTATCAGAAATAACTATCTGATCTTATTTTATATTTATTTATTGGTTCCGTACGTGAAAGTTATGTGTGTGTGTGTGTGTGTGTGTGAGTTCAAATTATCTCAACTTATCGGGAAAAAATGAATCTATCTACATCATTAAAAAAATCTCGGCCAAAATTTTTTTTAAAAACCAGATATATATATAATAATAATATAAACGCCGTATGATATTTAACATGATTTTCATATAAAAATTTAAGATAATTCATATGCAAGAATTGAATTGTGATGAGTTATATATTAAAAGAAAGAATTATATTTTTTTTATATTAAAAGGAAAAATGATTACATGAATATAACAAAAATGCGTGAGTTATATCCCATGGTATGTTTTTCACGCGGGAAAAAAAAAAGATAATTCATATAAAAAATTAAATTGTGATATGATATTAGCATAATACTGAGTCATATTGACCTTGTTTTAATTATCGAACTCGTTTCAAACTTTATCTCCTGTTGTTTGTATTGAACAATATCACACGTAATGACATTCGTGGACTAGTCAATGGGCGTATCATTTTGCAACTGTGCATAATGAGTATGGAGCTAATGTTAAAAAAATAAGTTTTAATTATACATTGACGAATTATCACAGGCCAAAAAGTTGGCATCCATGCGTTGATGTTGAAATATAGAATAATTGCTTTACTAAATTACAAATGAGACATGCATAATGAAGGGAACCAGTTTCACTGCTCATACCTTTGATGAGCACTATAAGCTCATCGGATCTAAATCGTCCATATCTCATTTGAATGGTTCAGATTTGATTTCTTTTTTATTTTTATTTATTTAAAATAATTATTTTAATATGTATAGGATCTAAAATGGCGATGATCTCTTAAGTATTATTCTTTCAAAAAATAATTTTCTCTATTTAAAAATAGTTAATTAAAGATTTTAAATCTGGACCGTTCAAATCAAATATAGACGGTTCAGATTTGATGAGCTTGTGGTGCTGAGCACCGAAACTGGTTCCCATAATGAAGGTGGGATAAGTCATGTAATACGAATAACATGACTTGTTATATATATTTTTATCGGAATAATTGAGATGCTTAGTCAATGATATTCAACCGTGTACATTTTGAAAATTCAAGAATGTCGATCCAGAAGTTATCAAAATGTCGCAGCAATAATATTTTATCTTACAGTAATATGGTTATAAAACATATCTGTAACGAGGATAACACGCTTCCAATAATTGAAGAGGGTTTGGATTTTTCTAACTGAACACGACGGATTGTAGCAAGAAATTTATATATAAGAAGGATATAACTTTGAATTGCGATCATTGTCCAAAAAACACTTGGAATTGTGATCTAGGATTGATGAGTTGTAAAGGGGCTAAAAATTAAGAGAAGAAACTAAAGACCCGGGGTGCTGGAGGCTGATAATGATTGTGATTTAATTAGATTCAAAGTATGATGGGGAGCAAGATTAAGCATGAAGGGAAAAGGAAGTAAACTTTGGAATGATACTAATAATCCAATAATGCAGGGGCCTAAGCAGGCTAACGTGGAGCAATGAAATGGAAAAGAGGTACAATAGTCATATGGTGATGAGTTAATTAAATTAAAGCAGCGCATAGAAACGGTTCAAGTGCAGAGACGTGCTCGATTGGATTGCGAGACCATGACGCCCCAGCCGACTCATTAGAATATTCTTGAGATCCATCTCAGCCAAGTTTGGGGGCGTCTACCTGATCTTGAGGTTTAGTATTTACTTCATGATAAACATGTCGTGTGGTAATTATATACACTCAGGTTAATCGAGGCGTGGCAAAACTCTCTAGCCTAATTCAACAACCTCAAGAATCCAACTTTATTTTTGAGTGCGTGCACGGGTATAGTGTGAAAATAAAATAGATGCATGTTAATCTGAAATTCACTTTCGCTAATTTGACTGGAAACAAGTAGTTTAGACGCGTGAGGCTAAATAAATGCAAGTTTTGCAGGGTTAAATCTAATAATTAAAATGTCACATGTTTTGGCAATCAATTTTTTAAAAAAGAAATATAAATATGAATGGTGCATGGTTTCCTTGCAATAGCATACAAATGTGTGTCTATACACGGTGTTTGAGTTGCCAAGTTGAAGAGACCTGATTCTTCATGAATTAAATTGAGAATTTAAAACTTGTGAATAAATCAAAATTACGTCGATAGAGTTACTTTTTTTTTTAGTTAGGCTAAAATAATAGAGTACAATAGACAGGTTTAATCAAATGATGACAAATATTATAGTTACATGAAAAATTAGGGAGGTTTATACAACTGATGAAATGATGAGTTTGGTGGGAGGGATGGTTGGAGGGTAGGGACGGGGCATAACGGAGAGAACGGAGAAGGGGGATTGTCTCATTATGATGGAAGGGAGGAAGGATTAAAGAAGGGGAAATAATGAGGAGCAGCCAAGTCAGAATGGCGTGGCATTTGTTTGTGGAAAAAGGTGTTTGCGGGAATTTGGCCACATGGAAATGCATGAGTAGGCACATCCCCGAACAAGGCTGTTGCTGTCATCCAATCGGGAGTTGCCACTTTTGAGGCTATGCTTGCTGCGGGGTCCGCCTCCCCCACATTAGCACCACTGCCCCTCTGCGCCCTTCGTCTCATTATTCACAATGCATCATCAAATTCACGTTTTTGCCCTTTTGTTCTTGCGCCTGATTGCTAGTTTTGACGCCCCTTTTGTCCCCTCCCTGCTCCCCCTGCTCCTATTTGCAGTTCTGCACATGCCCGGCTGAGGGCCCCTCTTCCAAACTCCACGTGCCCGCTGCCCTCCTTACTCCATTTTTTTACTGGCAAATAAATATCCTCTAAATTATTGCAAATATTTGTAAATTATTTTCTCAATAACAACGCAAATTAAACATCAGCTCACCAGCTTACGAGGAACCGATCTCTCTTAACGAGACTCAAGTTCTTTTGATACGTCAAATTTTATGATACGACCCTTGTCTGCTAGTTTTTCAAATTATTATTTATATGCCATACATTGAATCCCCACTGATGACGTGGCCGTCACCGAATCAATCATCGCACTTTATACTTTAAGTGATCTGTCATTGTATTCCTGGAATTTTGTTAAGCCAAAAAAAAAAAAAACGAGTGCTTGGTTTTGCTTGCTTCATTCATTCTTTATTATTTCCAATTTTTAATATAAGACGTCATTTAATTTTTATTTTAATTGTAAATATAAGATCCCAATATAAGATCCCAATTCCTTTTATCTTTCACATGTATTTATTTTTTTAAGACAATCCTTCTAATAATGATAGTTGTAGCTAATAAATTTGATTAGCAATGATATTTTAAGAAAGATAAATTACAAATAACTAAATTTAATTTTTTTTTAATTTACTTAAATTAATTAATTAGCTCTTATATTTAAGAATGAAGACAGTATTATAAAGTAGAGTACTAGTGCAGATTCAAAAATCAAGGCTCTCAAGCTAAATTCTCTTGGATTCTAAAATTGAAGTTTACCATGGCATGTAAGAGACGCCAATTCTCCGGATGCCCCATGGAGCCCCCGATTCACTAGCAGTAATATTTAAAATTTGGCGGTTAATTTACTATCACGAGGGAGGGAAAAGAGAGAGGATCCCCTGTGGGGTGGGGGACATGATCAGAGACAGTATATACTGAGAATCCTCGTGGATTGCGTAGGTGGGCCCCCGTGGGAGTTAAGAAGAGTAGTCTCAGATGGGGCTCCAGCCCAATTCCGACCTACATGCGTCAACGCCAGCGCATCCAATAATTTTCATATCCGATAGACATTGGCCGCAGCCGGCGAAAGATGAGAGGAAAACCGAGTTGCCCATCCAAACTCGCCTGTCATTACAATTGTAATAAAATGGGAGGATGCCTCTTCTTTTTGACTCTGAGGGGTTACATAGTTTATGGACTCGTGTGAATATAGATCTCCTTCAATTACTTATTCCTTCAGCTGTCTCTCCGTTCATCAAGTCTGGTCACTTTTGTTTAACTGTTTATGTCATTTATCTGAGAAACAAAATGTTTTCAT